TTATCAGTCCTAAGTCCTTCAAATCCTACTTATATAACTATATCTATATAGACATGAATCTATCAAGAATATAAGTTTAAAAGACTTTGATAAAAGCTTGGTAATTTAAAAGAGATTTTGGTACTTAAAAGAGATTTGAAAACAAGATATGAAAACCTTTAGCCGGATAAAACAGTTTAACATACAAAAATCTATTTGATTGACAGTTATTAATCACATGTGATTGATATAATAACTTATCAATTCAACTTGTATTCCCACCCCCCCCCCCTATAAAAGCATTTAAAATCATTTAAAAGGTTGATTAAGGGGTATGAACTCACTTGTGGTGGTTGATTCGGACGAACGGATGGTATAGGATGCTAAGTGTCAAGTGAGGACTTGAACACACACGCGAATCCTATTGAACATGTAATGATACATTTATGTATCTAATTAGTCATTTAATAACTAATTAAGTAAGTTAAGACACCCTAATACATGGAAACACTTTGTTTCAAGTGCTAGGAGTACTAAAGGGTTACATCTAAAGAGAGTATGGCCTCACATTGGAGTTTACTCCCCATATGGTAGCACCATATGGGTTTACGGTTCTTGGACCATTTCTCCCATGAGTTTACGGCCGTAAACTCATGGTAATGGTGTCATTGGGTGTTTTAAGGTCCTAAACCACACAAGGAAGTAAGCTAGACTCGAATCCAAGGCTTAGGAAGTGACTAGGGCTCGAAATGGCCCTTTGTTGGAGTTTACGGTCCTTGGACCACTCCTTGGGAGTTTACGGTCGTAAAAACATGTGTTTACGGTCGTAAACCCATGAGTTTACGGTCGTAAACTCATGGTTACCCAACCAATTCGTGTTTTGGTGTTTCTAGCTCATGCATGCAAGGTTCTAGTCCTTTATACAAGCCATAGAAGGTGTTAGGGGCACCTAAACCCCACTTGAAGGTGTTTACGGTCTAAGGAGATCTCCTTGAACCGTAAACACATATGTTCTTGGGGATTTTTATGTTCTTCAAGGGTTTAACATGTATTCTAAGCAAACAACTAGTTAGGAGGAGTGTACTTACTTATAGGAAGCTTGTAGGAGTGTTTAAGGGCCAAAAACATTAGTGTGTGTTCTTGGTGTTCTTGGTGTTTTGAAGAACACTTGAAGATCTAAGAAAAGAGGAGATTTCCATGGATGAAATCGAGTATAAACACTAGATAAAGTGTTATTTGAAAGAAACAAGGTAGGAAACACTTACATTTTTGGCGGATTTGAAGAAATGTGATATGATACTTGAGAGAAAATTTTGGTGTTCTTGAGTTAGGAAGTGAAAAGTGAGGAATGGAGGGTAAACTCATGTTATATGCATGAGTTCATGGTCAAAGGGCGTTTACGGCCCAAACTCCCTTTGTTTGGCCGTAAACACCTAGTCAAGGTGTTAATTGTTTATTTGATACACAACACTCCTAACGGATATTTCCATTTATTTGTTCGTTTGACGAAAAGTTAAAATAAAACACCCAAATGAACTTAAAACCGGCCAAAAATGTACTGGGATGAATTTGACTATTATTTGATGTGCTTGACTGCGGAGTTTATACAAAAATGAAAATTTCGGGTTGTCACATCATCCCCCCCGTTAGAGGGAATTTCGTCCCGAAATTAGAGTTCAAGCACACCCGCAGTTACAGTTTAGCGAAGCAAAAGGTGAGGATACTTTAGCTTCAACAAGATATTTGGTGCACACAAGATATTTGATGAAATGCTTCAACAAAATTGATTATGTTTTTAAGTTGTAATTATCGTGAGTGAGAGACCTAAACTACTTTATTAAATTGTGAATTAAAGTCTTGAAATGTAAGTTTGAACTTGAGAATATTATTGTGAAGTAAAATTTTTTCGTACTAAAATTTAAAATAATTATATTAAGCTGTGAATTTTTTTTATTAAACCATGATTTGATTGTATTAAGTTGTGAATTAACTGTATTAAACTATGAATTGACTGTATTAAGCTGTGAATTGAATGTATTAAGTTGTGAATTTACTGTATTATACTGTAAGTTAATTGTATTAAGCTATCAATTTTTTATAATTCCTTATAGCTTTCTAAAATATGAGATAAAAGTACCATTATATACAGATCTCATTTAGTCTAATTTTTGAATAAAACATTTAAAATTTAAGTTGTGAAGATTTTTGTAAATAAAATTTGAAAGAAGCACTAGCCTATAGATCTAAAAGTATATATATAAGTTTTAAGTTGAGAACATGGTTGTGAATGTATAATTTGTGCATTAAACTGTTAAATTTTTATACTAAGCTGTGAATTTTGTGTATTGAACTGTGAATTGATTTTATTAAGCTGTGAATTTTTAATGAATTATGTGTTAAAATATGACTGATTTATGTATGAATGTTTGTTTTAATTTGTTTGCGAATATATTTATTTTTGTGTTGTATAAATATGGAAGACTATATTAGTTTTATAATTATTTTGCATTAAATTCAAGATGAGTAAATTAGGGTTTAATTAGACTGTGACTGTAATATTTAAGTTGTTAATGCATGACTTTATTTACAGATCAGATTTGGAAGAAATGTTGGTTGCGATGTTGCTACAGGTGTTTGCTGGCAGTGTTTGGTGGTGGTGGTGGTAGAGTTTGTGTTTTTGACTTCTTTAAATTAGTGAATTATTGTAAAATAGTTTGTATTAAGTTGTAAAGTTTTTGCACTAAATTGTAAATGGACTGTATAAAATTGTATTTCATATCAGTTTTATGTTAAAATATAAGAGCATATATGAACGAAAATATGAAACTGTAAAAATTACAATTTTACCCTTTTCGTACCAAAAGGACAAGAAAATAAGGAATGTTAACATGTTTTATAAGAGTATCATGTAAATATTTACTAATTAACTAGAAAAGATTCCCCGGCGTTGCTGGGGTCGGAAGGTATTGCTTTGTAAAGTAAAGTAGCATGTTGGTTGCTTTTTGTCCGTTAATGTGAGGGTAATTTGGTCTTTTCAGGTAGTAGGGACTGAATTTGTCACCATGGGTAAACCATATGGACCATTTATGTAATTTTGGTGGTGGTGGTGATGGCAGATGGTGGGTGGGTTTATGGTATTGGGTGAGTATTTTCTAATAAATAAAACATTAAATTAAAACCAAAAGGAGAATGTTAAATCTGGTAAACCACATGGACCAATCGTGTAATTTTGTCTAACAATAATAATAATAATGATGAGGGACCATTTCTGCCAAAAGACTAAATACTAATAATATGTAATAAAAGGCGAGGGTTATAAAAAATTCAAACCAAAGTGAAAGGGTTGTTTGTGAACAAAAGCATAAAGATGAAGGGTCAATGTTGTCGACGCCACCTCAACTCAATCCTAATTTTTGTGTTTGGTATCCTGTCCAACAACGTTTTGCCACATACCCATAATAGCATTATCATTTCAGTGACCTCCATCTTCTTATCATGTTTATTTTTAATTGGCCAACATTTAGATACATACAACAAAGTTGGTATAATCATCACCCTATAAAATGTTATCTTTATATTCAGGGGCACCTTTTTGTTACTCAAAACTCTCGTTGTTGCCCTCCACTTTAACCATACTCAACACTCCCTTCCTTATCGATCATAAACTTCGTATACTTGAAACTCTCATTCGAAGGTAGAGCATGCTCATCAATACAAACTTTTATTCCTTCAATGTTTTGCTCCCTACTTAAATTACATCAAAGATATTTTCTCATATAGTGTTAACACAAACTCCCTTTTCTTGTAATAAGTTATTCCACATATTTACCCTATCATTCAACTCAATCTAGAACTGCCACCTTAGCATTGTCATCAGCAAAAAACATACACCATGGGATCTCATATCGGGCCTCACAATAGATTTCGTACATAATCAAAGCAAATAAGTATGACGAAGAGCCGATTCTATAAGTATGATGAAGAGCCGATTCTGAATGTAGCCTAATTTCCAATATGAAAGCCTTTGTGTCGCCAACTGCAGTTCGTGCATATGTTTTAGATCGACAATACATATCACGTATAGTTGTAACATAGCTCGTCGAGAATCTTCTAGCTTCCAGGGTCTTCTATATCGTCTCATATGGGAAGTTGTCGTATTCCTTCTCAAATCTCAAGGACCTAAAGTATCATGTTGGTCGCTTATCGAGTTATCGTATACCTATTAATTAAGTGTAGAATAAAAGACGAACAAAGCAACACCAAATAGGTTGACCCGTTTTAGCACCTATTAGAAGTTATTTATTCTGTCACTATTTTAGTACTTTAGTTTTTAATAATCATTAATGATAAATTATGTAAACAATTGGAAAAACTTAGACAAAACAGGTCAATGCGTGAGCTAAATCTTATTAGACTGTTTTGACATTTTTGACAGATATTAGAAATAGCTTAGAGGTATGCTAATTTTATGACCAAATGGCTTCTAGCCTAGCGGTATCCGGTGTTGCCCACCTTCCTTGAAATTGAGGGTTCAAATCTCGCTGTGAACATATGTGAAATTAAGAAGTCGTTTTGGAGTAGAGTAGATTTGGTGTCTCAAAAAAATACAAAAAAAAAATAAAAACAAACAAATAGTTTCCAGCTAGTAATCAAATATAACTTTAACAACATAAACTCATTTTAACGATTACACAGCCATCATTTTCACCATGAAAGAAGACAAATAGGAGAAACAATAATCAAAGAATAGAAAACCAATTAAAAAAGATAAAGTAAGGTAGAAAAGGTGCATGGGCAAAAACCAATTATCTCTTTCATGGTTACGATTCGACAGTCAAGAAATATACTCCGTATTCTTTTCATTTTCAGTTCTTTACACAACTTTCCACATATATATACCACCCACGATAGCTCTCTATTACTCTATATATATATATATATATATATATATATATATATATATATATATATATATATATATATATATATATATATATATATATATATATATATATATATATATCATCTCCAATTATTTAAACCAAACCATTCCCCACTTCCACTTGTTCCAAGAAACTCACCGGAAAGATGAGTTCTCCGACCAAGTCGCCGGAGAAATCAATGGAGGAGAACATGAAGAAGAAAAAGAAAAAGTCCATAACTATAATTTTCCGGTATGCCTATTGGTATGACAAATTGCTGATAGTTTTGGGCACACTTGGAGCAATTGGAGATGGGATGTCTACAAATGTTTTATTAGTTTTCGTTAGTCGTCTTTTTAATAGTTTGGGTTATGGCAAAGGTGTTCAACGAAACCCAGAAAACTTTATGCACGAAATTGAAAAGGTTAGCATGCATTTTCTGTAATCTTCTGGATTCTGTTTTCATTTTTCTTTTGTTGTTACGAAAATTTGCAGCAATAGAGAATAGTAATGTCACAAAAACTCTATTTCAATACCGACTCTATTGTCTCATTTGGTTTTGTTTGTGTTTTGTAACAGTGTAGTTTGGCTTTCGTGTACATCGGTTTAGGGGTGATGGTGATGGCGTTTATGGGTAAGCGTCTATGTTTATGCTTCGGTTTTTTACTGTGTAAATGCTAATCAAGGGTTAAATACACGAAATCAGTACATAATTTCTTTGATTTGTTTATTATAACGATCTACTTGCACTTGTTCATGTTATCGCATTTTTTTACTACTACTATAATTAGGTATATCTTTATAGGTATAATGACCTAATAAAGAAATAACACAAAGGTACACCATTATAATTAGACATATTTTATGTTGTACACAAATAAACAAAAATAATGTTATTTCTATTAAGGACTAAGATACGGTTCGTATCTTTTATATATTTATAAGATATTGAGGTGTAAATATTTAGTCAACACCAGCTGTATTCTCCCTGTATCATTCCTAGTCTATCGCATATAGCTGTAACTTTGGCTATATAAAGCCACTCGATTGTACATGTTAATCAATTAAACATATTAAAGCTTTACAACTCTATATGGTATCAGAGCACCACTAACTCTCACGAGTTCTTTGATCCACCTCAACTCAAGCCGTTTCCTCTCTTACTTACATCTAGGGCTATTCAATGGCCAAAAACACCCAAATCACAGCCACCACCCATCTGACCACAAAGCTCACAGCAGCGAACTACCCAGTATGGAGAAAACAGGTTGAATCGACCCTGATCAGCCTCGAACTTGAAGACTTCATCATCGGTCCCTCCACCAAACCTGCAAAAGAACTCAATGACAAGGATGGCAAGCCCATCCCCAACCCAGAATACCTTTCGTGGTATCGCAAAGACCAGATGATTTTCAGTGCAATCTTAGGTAGTTGCTCTGACTCAATTCAACCTTTAATTTCCTCTGCCTCCACAGCCCGTGAAGCATGGGAACGACTTCACTCAAGATTTGCCTCCTCATCCAGATCTCGTATCATCTCCTTAAAGTCCAAGCTAGCGAAAAACCCTAAGGGTAGTCGCTCCATCACAGAGTTCCTTCACGAGATGCGTGCAATTGCCGATAACCTAGCCCTAGCACAAAGTCCTGTTTCAGAAGAGGACCTCATGATTCACATCCTATCTCAATTAGGCGACGACTATGACACTATTGCTGCAGCTATCAAGGTGAGAGATAACCCAATCACTTATTCTGAACTCTTTGATAAACTCACTGATTATGAACGAGCTCTCAAAGACACGACATTACCACCTGAATCTATACCCACTACAGTCAACTACACCAATCGGCAACAGGGGTCAAATTTCCGTAACCCAAATTCGTTTTCCAGGAACAATCGGTCCTACAATACCAGATCACAACGAGGGGCCCATGCTTCTAACTGGTCCAGTCACAATTCTCAAGGAAACCGCAACACCAGAAATACTGAGTTTTGTCAGTATTGTAATATACCTGGACATCTCACCCGTGACTGTCGCAAACTAGCCAGGTTTCTAAGAGACAACAACGTTAACACAGACAAAACCACAAACCCAGTAGCCAATGTTACTACTTCAGCTCCAACATCTCCTTCTTGGCTATTTGATACTGGCGCCTCCAACCATGTTACCTCCGATCGTCAAACACTTCACAGTGTTTCAGAATATGGCGGTCCTGATGAAGTCGTCCTTGGTGATGGTACAGGTTTACCTATTTCTAACATTGGCAACACTTACATCAAGACACCTCACAGAAACTTACTATTATCCAAAGTCTTACATGTTCCAAGCTTACACAAAAACCTTGTTTCTGTTTCTCAATTATGTGACACTAATCTTGTTTCGGTGGAATTCTTTCCATCTCATTTTTTTTGTGAAGGATCTGTGCACGAGGGCGCGTCTCATGCGAGGAGAGAGAACTGAAGGCATCTACCATACCAGCTTATCACCTACAGTTCAAATCAACACTATCTCCAAGAATTCTCCATTGAGCCTTCATCACAAACTTGGCCATCCATCAGTCCGTGTTTTTAAGTCTATTATTTCTCAACTAGGTTTAAGTTCAAATTTCAATGTTCATTGTCCTTCTTGTTCAATTAATAAAAGTCACAAGTTACCTTTTGGTTCCAATTCCTTTGTTGCAAACCATCCTCTTCAACTTCTTTACACTGATGTCTGGGGTCCTGTTCAAACATCCATAGATAACTTCCGTTACTATGTTATCTTTGTTGACTACTTTACAAAGTACACATGGATATATCCCATCAAACACAAAAACGATGTAGCCAAGTTATTCCCAACCTTCAAACTGCTCGTTGAAAAATACTTTCAGCATCTAATTGTGTCAATATTTAGTGATAATGGTGAGGAATATCTACGCCTCCTACCAATCCTACAAGCTCATGACATCTCCCACTACACTACCCTGCCCCACACACCTGAACAGAATGGAATTGCAGAACGACGCCACAGACATATTGTGGAAACTGGTCTAGCCCTACTACACTATGCCAACCTACCCCTCACATACTGGTCCCATGCATTTGAAACTGCAGTTTACCACATCAACAGACTTCCAACCCCCATACTTGATCACAAATCCCCTTATGAGTACCTATTCAAATAGCCACCAAATTATTCCAAACTCAAACCATTTGGATGTCTGTGTTACCCATGGCTACGCCCCTATACCAACTCAAAACTCCAACCAAAATCAGCACCATGTCTATTTCTTGGCTACTCAAATTCCAAATCTGCCTACAAATGTTATGACCTCAGAACCAAACGCCTATATCACTCCCGCCATGTTGAGTTTATACCCGCTCTTTTTCCCTCCAGTCGCTTACCCCCTGACACACCTCTACCTACACCAGATGCCTTTCTTAACTCAATCAAAACAACCAAAACCACACCCACTTCTAACATTCCAATCTCATCACCCTCAAATACGCCACCCGTCCCAATAATAATAGAAGAAGCAAATTCCCATTCTCCATCTCCACCCATACCGACCACCTCTCATGACACCTCGCCTACCACTCCCACTGCTGCCTCTCCTGTCTCTGTGATATCTTCGACTGCATCCTCACCCAGTACTCCCTCACCATCACCTCCCTCACCTCAACCACAACCATAACCACCCCTACCTGCTACCCGTCGCCGCAAACAAAACCCTAAATACTATAACCCATCCTTTATAAACACTGCTACCCTTCACCCAATACCCCCAACTCATGAACCAAACACACATACACAAGCTCTCAAAGACCCAAACTGGCGTCATGCCATGGACCAAGAGTTTAATGCATTAATCGCTAATGGAACCTGGGAACTAGTTCCAAAATCCTCTCACACTCCAATTGGCTGCAAATGGATATTTCGCATCAAAAGAAACCCTGATGGCACCATTACAAAATACAAAGCCAGACTAGTCGCCAAAGGGTTCCTCCAACAGTATGACAAAAATTACTTTGATACCTTCAGCCCAGTAACCAAACCAGTCACTATTCGAACAGTTCTATCCATTGCTCTCTCTCACAGTTGGGTTATTCGCCAACTAGATGTCAACAATGCATTTCTCCATGGCACCCTTCATGAAGAAGTATTCATGTCCCAACTACCTGGATTCGCTCATCCCCAATTTCCCAACCACATCTGCAAACTTAAAAAATCCCTATATGGCCTTAAGCAAGCACCGAGAGCGTGGTACATTGAACTCACCAACTTTCTCACTTCTGTAGGTTTTTGCAAGTCTAGAGCTGACCCATCTCTCTTCGTCTACAATAAAAATCATATCCTTTGTTATCTTCTCGTTTATGTAGACGACTTTGTACTCACTGGCAACAATTCATCCTTCCTAGACAAGTTTGTCACGAACTTAGCCAATAGGTTCTCCATCAAAGACCTAGGTTCATTACATCACTTTCTTGGCATTGAGGTGATACCGACTTCTACCGGTCTGTTTCTATCTCAACATCGCCATATCCAAGACCTACTCACTCTCTTTAACATGGACGGAGCCAAAGAAGTAGCCACCCCGCTGAACGCCTCAGTCTCTCTCACAACACAAGACGGGTCCGCAAGCACAGATCCTACACCATATCGGAGGTTAGTCGGCTCTTTACAATACTTGGCATTTACGAGACCGGATATTTCTTTTGCTGTCAACAAACTCTCTCAGTTCATGCATGCACCGACAGAAATTCATTGGCAGGCTCTCAAACGAGTTCTCAGGAATTTGAAAGGCTCTATTCACCATGGTCTACTTCTTAGCCGCAAGTCAACAATGGATCTCACCGCCTTCTCCGACTCCGATTGGGGGGAATCGACTGTGGCGGACGCTCCACCACTGCCTACATTCTCTACCTTGGTTCCAACATTATCTCTTGGAGATCGGCCCGCCAAAAATCTGTCTCTCGGTCCTCCACAGAAGCAGAGTACAAAGCGCTTGCTAATGCCGCCTCTGAAATCGCTTGGGTTAAAAACCTGTTACTGGATTTGGGTATCTCATTCTCACATCTGCCAACACTCTACTGTGACAATACGGGAGCTACCTACTCATGCGCCAACCCAGTTTATCATTCTAGAATGAAACATGTAGCTTTGGACTATCATTTTGTTCGAGAAAAAGTTCAAGATGGATCCTTGCGCGTTAGACATATCAACTCCTTTGATCAACTGGCTGATGCTCTCACCAAACCATTAACTCGTGCTCCGTTTCTCCGACTTCGTTCCAAGCTTGGAGTATCTGACGGATCCTCCATCTTGCGGGGGCGTATTAAGGACTAAGATACAGTTCGTATCTTTTATATATTTATAAGATATTGAGGTGTAAATATTTAGTCAACACCAGCTTTATTCTCCCTGTATCATTCCTAGTCTATCGCATATAGCTGTAACTTTGGCTATATAAAGCCACTCGATTGTACATGTTAATCAATTAAACATATTAAAGCTTTACAACTCTATAATTTCTTGCATTTAACTCATCAATCAATTGTCTGCAAAAGGATATTGTTGGAGTAAAATAAGCGAACGTCAAGTATTAAAAATTCGTTATAAATATTTGGAGGCTATTTTAAGACAAAAAGTTGGTTTCTTTGATTCACAAGAAGCAACAACTTCAGAAATCATCAATAGCATTTCAAAAGACACCTCCCTCCTCCAAGAAGTCCTTAGTGAAAAGTTAACCACACCCCTATAGCGACACACACAAACAAACCGTCACTAACTCATTTTAACTTTTTGTAGGTGCCAAAATTCTTGATGTACACGTCGATGTTCTTATCGGGACTAGCATTTTGCACATACTTCTCGTGGAGGATGGCTTTAGTAGCTTTTCCAACGACAGTTTTCTTGATTATTCCAGGTCTTATCTACGGAAAGTATCTGTTGTTTTTGTCAAAAAAAGTCGTTCCTAGAATACAGTAAGGCGAACAGTATTGTGGAACAAGCTCTTGCTTCCATAAAAACTGTTTACTCGTTTACTTCCGAGAAAATGATTGTCCAAAAGTACTCAATGATTTTAGACCGGACAACTGAAATGGGTTTGAAACAAGGAATCGCGAAAGGTCTTGCTGTTGGGAGTACCGGTCTTTCTTTTGCTATTTGGGCATTGATCGCGTGGTATGGAAGCCGTTTGGTTATGTATAAAGGAGAAAGTGGAGGGCGGGTGTACACCTCGGGTCTTGCATTTGTGTTAGGTGGACTGTAAGTATTTTTTTTTCTGCTTATTTGGTTAATTATATTTTTGGTTCGCCTGATTTTGTTGATTTTTACAAATGTGTGGTCTAATAATTTGATTAAAAAATAGTTGTCATGTTTTTCATGCCTAAATCATTTAAGTTAAGAGCTCAACTATTGATTTATACAATTGACCATTTTACCCATATCTTTATATTTGTCATTATCCTTAAGGTTATGTTTGAAAAATAACTAAAAATCTAGTATAAGATCTTGATTCTTTTTTTTTCACAATTTAAACCGAATGCAAATCATGTTTTTTGTGTTGGCTTTTTTAGCTAATGTATTTTTCAAAAAAAAAATGATCAAAACATCATATGTTTTATGCAAATAACATGATGTATTTTTCAAAAAAAATGATCAAAACATCATATGTTTTATGCAATTAACATCTTTTGCTTGCATAAAAGACACTATTTTTTGGAAAATACATAATAGTTTTTTACCTTTATGATAATAATTAAACCAGATAAAATTTGTATAAAATTCAAAAATAAAAAAAAAATCCAAAATATATCTCAAAATGTTAGGGCTTTTTTGAGTTGTTAATTTAAACAATATAGACTGAAAACGTAATGAAACTGCATTTTAGGGACCAAAATGGTCATATCCGGAAATATGATTCCGAATGCTGGTTTTGTTTTTGAAGAGCTCTTGGGATGGCATTACCGGAACTGAATCACTTCACGGAAGCATCAATAGCAGCGTCAAGAATCTTCCACAGGATCGATCGAGTCCCAGAAATCGATGGTGAAGACATCAAAGGACTTGTACCTGATGAAATCCACGGAAAGATTGAATTTGAAAATGTCGATTTCACATATCCTTCAAGACCTAACTCCATTATTCTCCATGATTTCAACCTCAAAATCGAAGCAGGAAGCACTGTCGCTCTAGTGGGAGCAAGCGGTAGTTGTAAATCCACCGCCATTGCTTTGGTTCAGAGATTTTACAACGCAGATCGAGGAATTATTCGTGTTGATGGAATCGATATCAAAAAACTACAGTTGAAATGGTTGCGAGCACAAATGGGACTTGTTAGTCAAGAACACGCGCTATTTGGAACCTCGATTCGAGAAAACATTATGTTTGGGAAGATCGATGCAACAATGGAGGAAGTAATCGCTGCTGCAACGGCGGCCAATGCTCATAATTTCATCCGGCAGCTTCCGGAAGGATATGAAACGAAGGTCGGTGAAAGAGGGGCGCTGTTATCGGGGGGACAAAAGCAGCGGATAGCGATTATTAAAAACCCTGTGATTCTTCTTCTCGATGAAGCTACGAGCGCACTTGATTCGGAATCGGAGAAACTTGTTCAAACTGCTCTTGATCAAGCTTCCATGGGAAGAACAACAATGGTGGTTGCTCACAAGCTTGCAACGATACGAAACGCAGATGTGATTGCAGTCATGAGTGAAGGTAGGGTTATCGAACAAGGCTCACACAACGAATTAATCAACAGTCACACAGGTCAGTACGCCCATTTAGTCAAACTTCAGCGCCAATTCAGCTCGTTTAACGACGAACACCACACTCCGGTGACTAAAAGCAGCGCTTCGAGATTAAGCACTTCAAATCAAGCCAAGCAATGTTCGATTCACCGATGCCTTTCAACGATCCACAATTGCTATCATCATCAAATCACCCACCGCCTTCGTTCTCCCGACTCCTTGCTCTAAACTCGCCGGAATGGAAACAAGCGTTGATTGGGAGCTTAGCAGCGGCGACGTTTGGCGCTGTGCAACCGGTGTATGCGTTAACAGTCGGAGGAATGATTTCAGCTTTTTTTGTACTAAATCACGAAGAAATGAATTCCCGAATAAGAACTTACTCCATAATCTTCTGCTCACTTTCCATCATCTCGATCCTCGTTAACCTCTTACAGCATTACAACTTCGCATACATGGGTGAACAATTAACCAAAAGAATCAGATTGAAAATGCTCGAAAAGATCTTGACCTTCGAAACAGCCTGGTTTGACGATGAAGAAAACGCAAGCGGTGCGTTGTGCTCGAGGTTAAGCAACGAAGCTTCAATGGTGAAATCTCTGGTAGCTGACAGAATGTCGTTACTAATCCAAACAGGGTCAGGGGTGTTGATCGCCATGATTATGGGTTTAATCGTGGCCTGGAAGCTTGCACTTGTGATGATCGCAGTTCAACCCCTAACGATTCTCTGTTTCTACGCAAGAAAAGTGTTACTTTCAACAATGTCGGCTAATTTCATAAAGTATCAGAATCAAAGCACTCAGATTGCTGTTAAGGCTGTTTACAATCATCGAATTGTGACCTCGTTTCAAAGTTTAGGGATTGTTCTTCAGCTTTTTGATAAAGCTCAAGATGGGCCGAGAAGGGAGGCGAGGAAGAAGGCGTGGTTGGCCGGAATCGGAATCGGGTCAGCTCAAGGGTTGACTTTTATATGTCGGGCTTTGGATTTTTGGTATGGTGGGAAGCTGGTCAACGCCGGAGAGATATCCGCCGGTGACGTTTTCAAGACTTTTTTTATATTGATCAGCACCGGAAAAGTAATAGCTGATGCCGGAAGTATGACTTCCGACATAGCTAAAGGCTCCAAAGTTGTTGCTTCGGTTTTCTCCATTCTTGATCGCCAATCACTAATCTCCACCAATGTTCACGTAAGTAGCCAATCACCAAATCTCAGTTTTTATATTTAAATATGTATTTTGTTTTTAAGGTTAAAAAAAAAGAACTTATATATTTGGTTAAAATATTAACATTATTTTTTTATCAAATTTTTTTTTTGCATTTTTTCACTTTTTTCGCAAAAAGAACCTCAATTTTTTTGCCGAAAAAAACCTCAATCTTTTAATAGTTTTCCAAAAAAACCCTCAAGATCTTTAAAAACTGCTAAAATTGCCAAATAGACAAAAATGAAAAAATATAATATCTTTTTCATGAAAAAAAAAGTATAAATAAAATTAATGTTCAACAAAAAAACACAATATATAAAATAATTATTTAGATATGAGCCTTTGCTTTAGTTTTAAAAAGTACTAAAAGACAAAAAAAAAGTAAACTTATTTATATCACAAATTAAACTTATGTCCATTTGATTTAGGGTTAATGTCATAAAAATCCTCAAGTTTTCAGGTTTTTATCGGTTTTGCTCAAAGTTGAATTTTATGTCCGTTTTTACCCTTACATTTTCCAAAAAATGTTCGGTTTTACCCTTTACCGGTGATAGCAGGTTTTCCAGGTTACCATTATATTAAATTTGCAAAAAAACCCTTAAGTTTATAGGTTTTTTACGCTTTTACCCTTAAGTTTTTAATTTTTTTATACTTTTACCCTATCTATTTTTTTTTCATATTATACGTATTCATGCAAAAAAATCATATTTATATACGATAAAAAATTAATTAAATATAATATTTACATTTTTTTAATGTTATTGCTTTATGTGTCTGTGTGTGTGTGTATATATATATATATATATATATATATATATATATATATATATATATATATATATATTTTTTTTTCTGGATGAACCGTATAAAATGTAAAAAAAAAAAACAAATTAGGATGTTTTTATAACTACAAATACGTATTTTTATGTATTTAAAAATATACATATCAATAAATCAACTTGTTCAATTATAAACGTGTGTGTGTGTGTGTGTGTGTGTATATATATATATATATATATATATATATATATATATATATATATATATATATATATATATTAGAAATGCTAATATGTATTTTTGAAGTACAAATATTTATTTTTACGTTTATATAAGTATATACGTATATTTTTAGAAGTGTAAATATGTATATTGATATATGTTTTTTTAAAAGTATAAATATATTTTTAGAAGTATATATACAAATTAATATTTCTAAAAATATAAACATATGTATTTATACTTCTAAAAACTATATCTATAAAATATGTATTCATAATTCTAAATATATTAGTTTATTTTTTAAATGGTATAATACTGCAAACACACACACACACACACACACACATATATATATATATATATATATATATATATATATATATATATATATATAATTAGATATTTTTTCGTATATAAATACGATTTGCATGAATACGTATAATATGAAAAAAAAAATACATAGGGTAAAAGTATAAAAGAATTAAAAACTTAAGGGTAAATGCGTAAAAAAACTATAAACTTAAGGGTTTTTTTTGTGAATTTAATATAATGGTAACCTGAAAAACCTGCTATCACCGGTAAAAGGGTAAAACCGAACATTTTTTGGAAAATGTAAGGGTAAAAACGGACATAAAATTCAACTTTGGGTAAAACCGACAAAAACCTGAAAACTTAAGGGTTTTTATGACATTAACCCTTTGATTTATAATATAAAATGTCACAAATGCGATTTTTTTCTTGACAAAACACCTTCCTTCTAAAAAAGTATTATTTAAAGTTTTTCTTTTAGAATTTTATGCTCACAAAACACCATTATTTGAAATGTTTTTTAAATAGCATTTTGTAACAAAACAAAAACAAATAGTTTGTTACCTATTTATGATACTACTGTTGTTTTGTATAAGAACTAGCTAATGATCATATGTTTCATATGAAAACAGGAGGGAGATGAAAGCAGTGGAGTAAAGTTGGAAAAACTAAGTGGTGTAATAGAAATAAGAAAAGTGGATTTTGCATACCCATGTAGACCCGATACATTAATCTTAAGAGAATTTTGTTTAGAAGTAAAACCCGGAACAAGCATCGGATTAGTTGGGAAAAGTGGGTGTGGAAAGTCAACAGTTATTGCATTGGTCCAAAGATTCTATGATACAGACAGAGGTACAGTGAAAATAGACCGAGTAGACATAAGGATGTTCAACATCGAATGGTATAGAACGCATATGGCTTTGGTTAGCCAAGAGCCCGTTTTATATTCGGGCACGATTCGTGACAATATTATTTTCGGAAAAATTGATGCTTTTGAAAACGAATTGATTGAAGCTGCTAAAGCTGCAAATGCTCATACTTTCATCTCGTAAGTACATTACAATGGTTTTATATTCATATACTTTTAATTATTTTTCTAATATTAATATATTTCTAAATTTCACCAAATATTAAACTTTTTTTATTTAGTTATAATATTAAAAAGTATCATTTATAAGTTTTAAAAAATTTATATATCTATTTTACATTATATTAAACATAAAAAATGAATTTTATTTATAATAAATGAAATAAAATGATAAAAGACAAAAAAAAATTAAACTATGAAAAAGTTAATTTCGCAAAACTTATTAGTTTTTACTACACAAGTAAACTTAAAAAAAAAAAAAGTCTTTTTAATTGAAAAACTTTTAAAACATTATATTTGATTTTCCCCAACTTATTTGACATAAAAAGCTATTATTTGCATTGTATTCTTTTTTTAATTTAAATTGAACATAATGAGTTAAGTAAAAAAAAAGGATATAGCTTCATCTATTAAGACACCAACCATTTTACCTTATGAAATTTGTTTTTTAAAATGCAAAAATAAAATGATCATTTAGTTACAATCTAGAAAGAACACTTTATCGAGATATATATCATTACTCATTTACTCATTCAACAAAAGACTTAATAGCAAAAAAATAGATAAATAAATAAATCCTTATTTTTTTTATATATATAATATATCCAGGGCACTAAAAGATGGGTATGAAACCGAATGTGGTGAAAGATGAGTACAATTATCAGGTGGACAAAAACAACGAATTGCAATTGCTAGAGCAATTATTCGCAACCCAACAATCTTACTACTAGACGAGGCTACAAGTGCCCTTGATGTCCAATCAGAACAAGTTGTTCAAGAAGCATTGGATCGAATTATGGTTGGGAGGACTACAGTTGTAGTGGCACATCGACTTAATACAATAAGACACCTTGACTCAATTGCTTTTGTGTCTGAAGGGAAAGTTTTGGAACAAGGAACTTATAATCAACTTAAGAATAAGAAAGGGGCGTTCTTTGAACTCGCTAATCTTCAGAAAACCTAAGGTTTTTAATGAAAAGAACTAGCTAATATTCAAAAAACCTAAGGTTTTTAATGGTATTTTTATGTATATATAGTAATGAGGGTTATGAGAGTACCCAATGAAATGTGCTTGTAATTGAGCGATTGTTGGGTAACATGACTACAATCGGATTATTGTTGCGATGATTTATGTGTAACCTTGATGAAATGTTTATATATTTAATTGGGCATTTGATCTAACAAGTGGTGTGCAACTATTAATCTATTGATCATGTGTGAATGAAGTTAAATAGAGTATTAAGTTATTAACTATTAACAAAAATCATACATCAAAAAATGAACAATAATAAAGAAAACTGATCTCATAATGCAATATGGTTAGATTGGGGAATTTTGTGTGGTAAAATATTAGTATATTTCAGTTTTGTTTATTTGCAAGTCATACTACAATTGTTTGTTTTTATTTTGTTTTCAAATTCTTGATTTGTGTAAAATATAAATAGTGTAGGTATAAAGAAATAAGAAACGACCCATCTAATTGTATTAATAATAGAAATTCTGATTGGGACAATATACGCAAATTTTAAAAAGCTCACGACAGTCTTCGACAACTTTGTTTGATAAATCAACATCTTTTTTCATATCTCAAACTTTCCTTATAAAAATCAGATTCATTATCAGTGATATCTTTTACTTTAACATTTGCATGAAACGCCTTGGAATCGCAACTTTTAAAATTAGTTTATAAGAATTACTTCTTTAGGAAGTTATATCAGAATGTTCTTTTATATTTGAATCAATAGCTTCAAAATTACTACTAATGGTAAGAAGTTTATTCACAATTAGTTCAGAACAATCAGTCTTCTTCTTCTTCTTCTTCCATTTCACTCGTTTTATCACTAACATAATCTAAATCAAAAAAATATGTCATCCAAATTGATTTATCATTTGAGGAAGAATTTCTACAAAATTTTATTTGTTCTGAAACATTCAAAGTCTCATTCACAATCTTCAAAAGATCATGAGTGTCAAGAAATTTCTCAAGAGCAACCACACCATAGTTATAATTTATATTTAGAATTGAGTAAGAGGAAATAATACTTCCACATTCATAAGTCAAATTATCAACTACTCCATGCTTAAATTGGAGAAATGAAAGCAATTCTTTATTTTGATATTTTGACACATCACTGCTATGATAAATCCGTGTCATTTGTTGATATAAACTTTTTGCGGTATTACAGAATATGTTCGGATGTTTCAACAAGATTTCACTTTTAATTTTTTAATGTTCCTTTACATGTGACAACCTATCTATTCATCTCTTTAATTTCTCGATAAGTCATTTCAAATTCCTTTATTAAAAGTAGGCTTTAGTCGTCGTACCAAACACAACATTGAATAAGCTCTTAAAATAAGTTAGATTATATAAGCCAAACATAACCTAAGTATCGTTAGCTAATTGAAAATATTTGAACATGTTGATTGAATTGCCTTTTAACTACTTATTTTATTATTTACTTATCAGTACAATAAAATTATAACTCATTAGGCCGTTAGATTATTTTATCTTCCTTTAAAAAATAGACGTAATATGAGGTAGAGATGCACATTAACGATTCCGGACCAGTCTAGTCTTTTTTCGGATGATCTTGGGCTGGTCTTTTTTTCAGACCGGTCCTTTCCAATCCTATCATTTCGAACTGATCTCGTGATCTTTGCCCGCACCTTTTTTCAGAGTATTTTTTTGATTTTTGGTTTGATTTTGAGTTTTTTCGTTAACAAACGTGTGACTAAAACTAAAATTATATATTCATAATTAATAAAATGATACATTAATATTTAATAAAAGAAAGAAGTAAGGTAATTGTGATTACTGATTAACCAAAGGGCCTTTGGCCTAGCGGTAAAGAATGACTCTCTCAAATGAGAGGTCATGGGTTCAAATCTCTAAGGAGACATAAATGGTATTTAGAAGTAGAATGAGTTAGATAGTTTGTCATTTCAAAAAAAAAAAGTAATTGTGATTAAAAAATATGTACATAAAATAAAATTTATATGTATATAAACTTTCACTTTCTGTCTTTTTTAGACCGGTTCGGTCTCGATCTTTTTTTGAAATTGTCCGATGATACTGGTTTTTTTTATTCATATCTAACCCAGTTAACCAAAAAATTAAAAAAATTAATAAAATTAAAAAATAAATTAATAATAATAATAATCTGAAACTGGGTTTTATACGGCCGGATAGTCATTAGTCGTGCCATGTCCAAGCAAGGGCCGGTTTTGCATACTACTATGCTTTATTTGGACTTCCCTTGGACCGGATCAGACCAAATTGGACATTTTAACTGGACCTGTTTTTATATTAGTATTATTATTTATTTTGTTGCATCTTTTATTTTGAGGAATCCTTTTGTTATTGGTAGTAGAGACTTTGATCGAGAAAATAAAACCAAGATTATAAAAATCTTAATTAACTTTTTTTTTTCACAATCAATTTTTAAGATTTCCGAAAACAACTTAGGCTACCCTAAAACACAAACACCTAGAATGCTCAATAATCAAAATATATTTCGGTTGTAACGCAATACACCAACATCAAATATCATTCGACGATCGGTCAAATAAGAACATTAATCATATGACAGAACTTCGAAAAATTACATAACAAAATAAATTAATAATAACCTTGTTGATCAAAACCAATGAGCACCAATAATCACATGTTAAATAGCACAGTTAAATGCTCATCTTTTCACCAAGATCATCATCATCATCATCATGACTCATCATAGTTTCTTATACTCATCATTTGTCTGAATAGATAATGGATCAAAACCAAGTAAAAGTTAGGTATTATGATCTTGCTCACCAACTTGGAAACCAGTCAGCTTTATCCAAGCTCTTAATCTAAGCTCTTAAACTGTTCAGATCGTTTTACAAGTTCTTTTTGTTCATGTATTATGATGATGATGATATATGATGATGCTTTCTCTTTGATTTAAGATCAACAACAATTACCGATATGTTATCAGAGCTATTTCTTCCCATGGCTATCTCAATTAGGCTGTCAGCCAGGATTTGCGCCGCCGGTACTTCACTGGTGGCAGACCGCCGCCGCCGCCGCAAAATCCGACGAGCCACCTCACCCACCTCAGTGTTTGATATCACACCCCAAAGTCCATCACTTGCTATTATTAAGCACTCGTCTTCATCGGTTCTTGTTGTGAATGTTATTTCGGGTACTGGAATTATCCACGGTCTTAAGTATCGGTCACCTGGAGATATTACTGATAGTTACTGCTACTGATACCGATACTGGTACTGGTACTAGTAATGATACTGATAAAATAAAGTTGAGTAAAATGTGGGATTACCAATCGCTCGTGACATGGCAAGGACTCCAAATACTCTAGCTCCATTCCAATTTATGACTTTTCCGTCCTGTTCTTCGATTCTCAAGAGCTCGTCTTCTCTATCGGGCTGTAGAAGCAATGGAATACAAGATATCATTTAATTTCGTTTAAGAAAATAAATAATCATGTTGAGATTTGCCTAAAATAAGAAAAGGTGAACTGGGTTTTATCACTTTTAAAAAAGAAGTCAAGGCTTTAATTTCAAAGCATCCCATTTTTAAGATCAAAATACACTTTAAGTATTTGATTTTTTTTTCTAAAGTGTAGAAAAGCATGAGTTAATTATTTTTGAAACTGTGTGAAATACTAATATCCCAAGTCTATAAGATTGTAAAATTTGTCATCTAGTGATTTTTTTTCTCATGATGCCTATGGTGTTTCTCCGGTTTTTTAGATCATTTTCCTGTATATTCTTATGTTGAATTTTATCTATGATTTTTCATTAGACAGGTTGTTGGGAATCTTTGAGACCTTCTGATCAACTGTTAAAGGGATTGATTCTTTGCCACGGAAAAGCACTGCTCGAGAATCACCACAGTTTGATACGATGATTTGGCAACCGGATAACACCACTGCAACTGCGGTGGATCCAACGATTTCAGGTGCTGCAGCCTCTGATAAGACTTCATTGTCAGCCCTTTCAAAGCTACTGGACATCACTGACTCCCATCTTTGTTTCCATTTATAGCCGTTAGCTGCTTCTTGATCCCACTCTTCTGCTATCACTTCATGCATTCGCTCTGCACAAAATTTCGCCACCTGGTAATTAAAACCAAAAAAATGAAATAATTTTTTTATTCTATTATATATTGCTCCATTTTCACCCAATTTTTTGCACTAAAATAATGTAAAGTAATACTATAACACTAAATTAGGCATATATGTTTTTGTCCTTCAATTTGATTTTTCACAATTCTAGTTAATTGCATATGTAAATAGTAATATTTGGTTATTTAATAAAATGTTTGTTTAATAATATAATTATGTAGTAACTAATTTCGAAGTATTTTATATACAAAAGATTAATTTGGTTGTAATTGTTTAATGTTATATTAGTATTTATTAAGTTGCCCTAATAAATATTAAGACATTTGTTAAAAGCTATTGAATATTCTGCTACTTTTGAAAATCTATAATACAAGTTAAAAGAGGGAAAACAGGTGGAAAATTTTTAGGTGGAAAATATGTTGTAAAAGTAGTCGAAGAATTAGATATTAATCACTATCTAAACCAAATCTACTCCATTTTAATACACAAAATAATGTTATGTGTCAGATAGAAACTATAGGTTTAAAAGTCAAATGAGTGTTTTTGAATTATTTGACGGACTCAAACCAAATCTTCTCAAGATTTTTCTAAAGCAGATACGTTAGTATTTCTTTATTGTTCTTTCCGATTAAAATAACTTTTAATCTGAAATGTATTAATATGAGTTATTTTTGTAAGATTATCAGCTTGTTTTTTCTCATACTTTCCTACTCAAAAGATAACAAAAAATACAAAAACATTCCTTTCTTTTTAATATGAGAACATGCAAAAAGTATTATTATGATTATTATTTTTTGTTCAAACCTTATAACCCAAAAATAGATCGCTACAAATGTCATCCTAGCAAGCTACAAGATTTGTTTGTGAAGGTAAATTAGATGTTTAAAGTTCGAAGTTAATAATGGGGTAATTTTGAGATTTTAGTAAAAGAAAAAAGATCCAAAATATGAAATAGTAAGAAGAAAAAGAAACTAACTATTGTATGAAAAATACAAAAAGTTACTATTTTAGACTGTTAAAAAAACAAAAATCTCATTTTCAATTTAATCTAGA